TATATATATATATATATATATATATATATATATATATATATATATATATATATATATATATATATATATATATATATATATATATGTTAAATATCTTGTACTGAATTTGGCCTGCTTAACATGTTCGTCTGCCCACTGTGATGGGGTGCCTGCCCCAAACTGGGCTCTAAGAGGTTAATAAAGCCCTATGGGAGGCTGCACAGGAGGCAACCAATCAGAGAAGGGCTGAAGGGAACAGCCAATCAGGGCCAAGCAGGCCCATATAAAAAGGGAGCTGGGAGCCCAGGGGGGAAGGGCTGGGAGCCCAGGGGGGAAGGACTGTGTCTCTGGAGGGCTGAGAGAACTGCCAGCACCTTGGACAGAACAGTGCTGCGAGCAGGGTACGGGGGAATGAGAGACAGCTCCTGGCTGACTGCTGGGGTTTGCAGGCTGAGGCCCTGATGCAGGGGCAAAGAGGATGCTGGGGCCATGAGGAAGTGACCAGACAATTTGCTGCAGTTGCCACTAAAGGAAGTGGCTGAACAGCAGACTGCAGGTCCCCCAAAGTGGGGAGCACAGTGTGTGTGGCACGGCCGGAGGGCTGCGTTGCTGAAGAGGACGCCACAGTCCTTGGAGAGATGTGGGTCCTAAAGCAGGAGTGATGGCAGCGAGGCACCACCTGAAGAGGGTGCACTAATATGTGGAGCTAATCTCCAAGACAGCCAGCAGGAGGCGCCACAGTGATGAACCCTGTCATACCACTCATCATAACAGATTATGGTCTCCCCCCACAGAAAGCAAACTTTTATTAAGAAACAGTTGTGTTTTTAGCCCCTATGGTTGCAGTGAAAACTTTCCAAACATGAACTGAGTGTCACTGATGCAAAACAAACACAGAGCTGTCTTCCTGAGTCTGCAGACAGACTGAAACAACAGCTTTAAGAGATGTTAACAGTCCGATTCATCTTAGTAAAGTGTGAAGTTTTAGGCATAACAATGGCACTTTAACAGCCAGATTTCCAAATAATCATGTGCACAGTTACTGCAATTCTGTTCACAGATCAGGCAAGTACATGTGCAAATGGCAAACAACAAAAATAGCAGTGGTCCTAAAAGTGCTCTGAATCCCTTTGTCCCACTGAGTTATGCTGAATGCAATATTAACTTCACTAACTAAATGTTTAGTTATTATATAAAGGCCACATTCTTCCCTTGATCTTTGAATAAGCCTTCCACTGTTATCAGTAGAAGATCTGCTGAGACTCAGTATGATAGCCCGCTAGCGTAGATGCAGCCAACAGAAGTTCTTCTGTCAGTGTAGTAACACTACCTCCCTGAACGACGTTAGCAAGAGATGCATTCTGCCACTGACATAACTGCGTCTGCACTGGGGGTTTTGTCAGCATAGTTATGTCGATCAGGAGTGATTTTTTCCCCACACCTCTCACCATGTAGCTAAACCAATATAACTTTTAAGTGTAGACCAAGACTATTATTATGATTTGAGCCCCTGAGACAGACTATATCCCAGTTTTCTACAAATTGTTCAGGATTCCCATATCTAGTTTAAACAGATGCAATAATGTGGCAGCGATACATAGCTCTTTCAGCCAACTAGATTATAAATAAAATGAAATGGCATTTGATAATAAATGGAAATGACACTGCTGCTGTGGTAAAACACACATGCCCTTATGAAAAAGTAATACTATTTTAGTGTATGTTAAATAGTTTGCTTTTTAATCTGGGAACTCCACTGTACTGTGAAAATGCTGGTGGTCTTCGATGGACCAGAGGACAGAGACAAACATGAGTGTGTATATCATGGTGAAGTCCACTGGGCAGGGCCGGCTCTGGCTTTCTTGCTGCCCCAGGCAAAAAAGCCGCCGG